TCATCGGCCTAGCCGGGACGAGACGATACCACCCATTCAAAGCCGTCTGTGACACCTGAGAAGAACTGTTCCTCGGAACATGCGGCAGTAGAGAAGTCGGCGGCGTCGGCGTTCTCGTCAACACGAGTTTATCCATGAACTTCGATTCATTCGAACAACCTACAACCCGAATCGGACGTTTACGATTAAGAAGATGTGGATCAACACCGGCTTCGACAATCTTCGTCGTTTACGCGCCGACATCAAGCTATGACGAAGAAGAAGTCGAAGCGTTCTAATATGGACTTAGAAAGGTTCTGCAGAAAAGACCACACATTCTTCAAGGCCATCACTGGAGATTTCAACGCCAAGATTGGACCAAGAAGAACGCCTGAAGAACATCACATTGGGACCCACGGATTAGAATGGAACGAACAGGGTGAGCGGTTGGTGAGCATGGTAACTCGCAATTCCAGAAGCCCCACCGTCAGCGCTAGACGTGGGAGCCTCCCAATGGAGAGTACCATAACGAAATAGACCACATCATAGTAAATAGGAGGTTTTACCTAACCGTTGTCGCTGTTGTCCCAAAATTCTACAGGAGATCAGACCATCGTCTCCTTCGTGCAAGATTCTATTTCTCGCGGGAAGGAGAAAAAGCTGCTAAATTCCAAAATCGAAGTCCCAGAACCACCGTAAACTGGGATTTATTCAATTAACTAGTCAGCTACATATTTATTTATGTGATCTTATAAACTGATCTTCTTAAGCTGACGCGAGGTTGGTACAGGTCTTCGTTGTCATTGTCGTTGTTTTTGATGTCATTGATCGATGGCTGACGTTTCGGCGACTTCGCCTTCCTCAGAGCCTGGACGTACTTTATGTTAGAATACTTTTTATTATTCGGTGGAAAAGAAGGTTAAAGTATTAATGAAGATCGAACTTTCAAATAGACGCCATATTGAACAGAAAGGCCACTCACCGTGATGTTACGTGCGGGACTGGCCGACACGTAGTTCACGCGAGCAAGATACGCCCCGGGGTTAAAATATCATTTTGAAATAGGGCGCGAGGTCACGCGTGATAGTGAGGCATTCGTCCTTCCGGTTCATCTTTGGATTTTTGAAATTTATCCAAAACGCCTCAAGAGCTTTCTTTTCCACCGAATAATAAAAAGTATTCTAACATAAAGTACGTCGAGGCTCTGAGGAAGGCGAAGTCGCCGAAACGTCAGCCATCGTTCAATAACATCAAAAACAACGACAACGAAGATCTGTACCAACCTCGCGTCAGCTTAAGAAGACCAGTTTATAAGATCACATAAATAAATATATCAACTACCTATGCCGAAGTTCATAGAAAGTCGGTCTTTCGAGTTATTAACTAGTCTGCTGTTGGGAAGATGCCGTTATCGATAACATCGACGAAGAATACGATCGGCTCATTCAGCATCTTCACGCTAGCGCTATGAAAGCCCAGAGTTCGAAACTCACCAAGAGACGACTGTCTCCGGAAACACTCGAGCTTATACGCCAGCGTGGAATCGTACGAGCTGCAGGCAACCGCGAACTAATGTCCAAACTTGCAAAACAATGCAGACAGGCGATAAAAAAGATCTTAGAGAGAGAACAGCAGCATTAATGGCCGAAGTTGCAGAGGCTGGTAAAAGCATTCGCAAAGCCCACCGAAGCTTAGCCAATTACAAGACCAAGATGACTGCATTCCGACGCCCAGACGGAACAGTTACAGCGTCCAGAAAGGCAATGGAGAAAATCGTTCACGAATACTATTCGGATTCCTTCGATAGCCACGTCCACCTTCAGCTATATGAAATAAAGAAGGATGGATATGTTGTACCACCGGTTCTCCCTTCCGAAATCCGACATGCCATTTCTTTGGTGAAAAATCGAACAACACCAGGTCAGGACAGGATAAGATCAGATCTCACACCTGAAGATCCCTCCGCCAACCCTTGTAAGCGTAGTACTCGGTTCTTCACGCGTTACCTGTCCGAATGCAAGGCCCCTACTCAGTGGAAGGTCAGCAAAACCGTGTTACTGTACAAGAAGGTTAACGTACACGATATCGCCAGCTACCGCCCAATCTGCTTGCTGTATGTCGTCTACAAACTTTTCACTCGAGTTATCCTAAACAGTATTAACAGAACACCTGGACGAAGGGCAGCCATGTGAGCGAGCAGGGTTTCGAAAAGGATTTAGTACCATGGACCACAACCACACGATAACAAGGCTCACTGAAGTATCGCCACAGTACAAAAGACCGCTCTGTCTCACTTTCATCGATTTACAGAGGGCCTTTGAATTAACTGAGATAGAAGCAGTCATGGAAGCCCTTGATAGTCAAGGAGTGCCTACTCAGTACATAAAGATTCTTTGTGAGCTGTGCAAAAATTTCACAGCCATGATTTCACCATTCTACAGCGATATTAACATTGACGTCAAAAGAGGAGTTAGACAAGACGATACCACCTCGCCAAAATTATTTACCGCCACCCTCCAGAACGTCATGCCAACACTCGATTGGGGTAATATGGGAGTGAAAATCGATGGTCAGCAGTTACACCATCTTCGCTTTGCTGATAACATCGTCCTTATAACACCAGGCATTAGCCAAGCGGAACGTATGCTTGGCGACTTTATTAAAGTCTGTAGAAAGATTGGTCTTCGACTAAATCTCACAAAAGCGATGTTTATGAAGAACGGATTGGTTTCGCATTCCCCATTCATGCTCAACGGAATGAATATCTCCGAATGCTCCGGTTATATCTATCTAGGTCGGGAAATCAATATTATGATCCACCTGGGTCCATAGCTGAGCAGAAGGAAGCGCCTGGCTTGGGGAGCTTTCAGGAGCATCGAGAATGTAGTGAAGAGAACAAAGAACACCCGACTCAATGCCCACCTTTTCGACCCAAAGGTACTTCCTGCCCTAACGTATGAGTCAGAAACCTGGTCGCTGCGTAAGCAAGATTAAAGCTCACTCAGTGTTATCGAACGCGCAGTCGAAAGGACGATGCTAGGAGTATCCCGTTTCACACATTTAAGGGATATGATTCGAAGCTCCGATCCGCGTCAACGATCAAACATCAAAGATGCCATTCTGTACGCCAAACAGTCGAAGATAAGGTGGGCCGGGTACGTAATGCGTTTGAATGACAACCGATGGACAAGTGCCGTAAGTGGCTGGATTCCTCACTGTATCAAACGTACTGCAGGAGGACCGCCGACCTGATGGTCAGAGTTCTTCACAAAGAGCCTTGAAGAAAGGTATGATGGAGTCCCTAGAACGAGCAGAACATCCTGGGCTACTCTTGCACGTGACAGGGAAAAATGGAAGATTTACTTACGCCCGCTCGAGTCACTCAACAATCAGCTGGATTACAGATGATACAGGTGATAATGGCTTTGGGTTTGTTCTCCTCATGTAGGCATAGCTGTTGTACACGTGGCCACACTAGCCAATCCGCTTAATGCAGGCGAGTCAATAAGTACCAAGGAAAAAATCTGCAATTGTGCAAAAAGGTGAGTTTGACGTAAGTTATTCTGGGAGGACAGCGTGTAATTCATGTTTTCAATCCTACAGATATCTTAAGATTACTTTTTGAAATGAATGCTTCCTAATGCTTGGCCAACGAGAACTCGTTAGTGTTTAGCTTCGAGGTCAATCTCCTGCAAGGTGCTGCTCGGATAGATCCTGGACGAGCTGTGCTTCATGTGAACTTCCGTTTCAACCAGAAGCAGATCGTCATGAATTCCTACTTAGTGTGTTGTGTATTTTTTTTTCGTTTCCAATGTTATTCAGTAGTAGTTCAATGATTCACACGGCTCACTGCTGCATCTGCTTCATATGACTGTTCTTATAATATTTAGTTTCGAGAAATATGGATTAACAATCTATGTTTTTTATTTGTTTCCTATTACAATTTTTACGGCGTGGTACTCTGTGAAATACAACCGTAATGATGCTGAGATATTTGCCAACTCCCGAACCGCATGTTTCTGCGGTGGGGAACGAACGTGCTATTACGCTTTCCGGGGGCTACCGCGTTCACCCCCACGCCATGCGGATCCTTCGTTTCGCCTGTTTGTCAGCTAGTTTTTTATTGATCAGTGTCATCAGCAATCACCCAATCGATTTCAAATATGAGATAATTAGCACGAAATTGCTTTGATCATGAATTAAAGCTGGTTGTCGTTGCCGTTTGTTTATTATTTCTTTGTATTAATACGAGACAGTTTACATGTAATGCAGTTAAATAGGAATCGATTTTATTATTCCAAATGAAGTTTTTTCTAAATTACGGCTATTTATTACCATTTATGGGTAAAGCGTGGGGAAATGAAGAACGAAGAGGTATACCATACAAACAGGGAGATCTTTTCGATCTAAGGATCGGGTTCGTTCGACGTCAACATTCTCCTTAATGCTTGTTTTCACTAGAGAAGTAGTTTTACGAAATTTGAACTCTTTATTTTCTTCAGTGGCATACTTGTAGGTTGGAAGTTGATTTTATGAAAATCTGGGATGGCGGAAAGGTGCATGAATTCAAACATAGTCTGCCATTCAATCAAATTGAGTTTCTTCGTATTTTTGTTGAGCAAACGCGAGGTGTTGTTATTCTTATGAGGAAGGCGAAATCCCGCCGAAACGTCAGCTTATTCGTGAATAAAGAATAATAACACCTCGCGTTTGCTCAACAAAAATACGAAGAATTACTTGATCAATGCCGAGGTTAATAGAAAGTAGGTCGTGGCAAATTGAGTTTATTCAAATCAAAGAGACTGGACTCTCAGCACTATTCAGCGGGCAGCAGGGTAAGAATGATCGCACTCGTAAATTGTTAGATGCTTTTTTTTAAGGCCTAAGTTCATCAAAATTATCTTTAACAATAAAATTAGTTTCGGAAGAATCGCCTTCTTCAGAGCCATTTTTTTCACCTCTCTTCCACTGAGGAAGAACAGCCGCTCAGAGTCGCATATGGTTGACGACTCTGTAGAAGGCGATTGTGCCGAAACATCAGCTACGATTGTGTTGTATGTGTGTTATTGTATGGAAGTAAACGTATGCTGTTTAACAACCTCGCGATTGCTGAGAGAGAAAACGACGAATTCATAATTCAATACCGAGGTTAATAGAAAGTCGATCCTGGGTAATAAAATTAGTACTGAGATGGCTAGTGATCTGGACTGGCAATTGATCTACTTGCTAATGGTTATTTAACCAAAAGCCAAGGAACTTTATCTGAGTTCAAACACTTCAAGTTCTACCAAATTCCATGGGAGATGACATTTGTTGATGGACATTTTAATGTTGGTGCGTGTGTCACTGTTCATAAAAATAGTTTTTGCAAATCATCACTCTCATCAGGCCAACTGATCATGCTGGATGTAATCCCAAAATGCGGGCAGTGGAAAATTGACTTGCTTGGAAAGAATGGTGATATTCTGTTTCATTTCAATCCTCGATTTAAGGAAAACTGTGTAAGTTTCTGAAAGAAAACCAAAAAATTGCAGCTCTTCAGAAGCACTTCTAGTTATGGGTTGAAAAGTTACAACAAACATGTAGGTTGTGCGTAATTCATACCAACGCGGCACGTGGAGCAACGAGGAACGCAGTGGTCCGTTTCCATTCGAGAAGGAACGCGGTTGTGAATTAGCGCTTAGGAACGATTCCCACCCAATAGCGGTGAGTTCTCCGATGTTCATGTCCTTGAAATGTGGGACGAAAACTAAAAATCGAAGGCATGACGTGCTTTCCAGCACCAGCATCGGCATGCTTTCAAACTCTATCTTCGCACGGATAACATGTTTCTTGAAGTCATTATAGCACTATTATTAATCAGCTTTTAATGATAGTAAAACAAATTTGGTCATCTAACTTGATAATCTAACCGGGTTAGCACCTAGTTTGGAACTGATAAGTGGAGAAAGCAAATATGGGTGGCTGTCTAAAAGTTGCAGCTTATTTTTATAACACTTTGCTGCAAAAGGGAAGATGTAGAAGCACCTAGTATTACACGTGCTGAACTTCTGAGATCTCTGATACGGAAGGCTACGTTAAGCTCCAAAACACCCATTTCTAATTAACCGTGATTAGCAACTACTAGTGCATTCCTAGATCGTTCCACAGGTGGTCACTGGAATTTGTAGAACAGATGGTGCTGTTCCAACCAAGTGCGACACCTTTTGCCGCACTCGTTGGTCGTGTGGCTTTCTGAAGGCGGGGCTGAGTCGTTTGCATGTGTACTGCACGTTAACTACTATTCTTCCAGCTTTACCGTGATATTGTCATATATTGTCATAGACATGTAATTCAAAAAGGCTATGTGGCGCTCACGGGAAAAATTTTTTGCTATATATTCCCTCGATTAATTGGTTGTGAGAAAATAAGGCTTCAGCTGTAGTTTCTCAATAGAGCCTACTCATTTTGCATAAATTGGTCAGCTACACCACATGTAGCTTTCATCATACAATCTTATTTGGACAGGCACTGATTTATTAGAGTTTTTTTGTTTAGATGTATGTGAACAACGAATGCATCAATACGTTTGTGCTTGGTACGATGAATCCGGGGAAGGACTACGTTAGAACGGGAGTGTATGGTGATGTGGAGATCACGAACATCTCTGTCGTCTAAGCTCTGTTCTCGTCCCCTAAGTAATTTATTAATTTCCAGCAGTATTCTCGTTCGTTTTTCTCCACTCGCTAGTTATTGCACAAATATTACTCTTGATATTTTACTCTGGGACTGTGGTAGTTAATATAAAGGCTGTGGTCACTCATTATTCACAGTGGTTCATGATTTATTTCCTGACGCTCAAAATAAAGTAGTACGAGTGACGTGCGTTTCATGAATCCCATTCAGTAAATAGGCAGATCCATTAATCGTCGATGGTAGAAGTAACGCAGCGCTGTCTATTTCGAGTTATTGAAGTAATAATAGAGATAGAGATCGGCCTAAGAGATAAAGAATAAATGACACCGTAACCAGATATTTTCAATTTAAACGAATTGGCATCAAATATACCGATCCTAGTATTTCTATCCGTTTTTAGGAGCTCTACCAACCGTTTGCCAGCTCATGGTGGCTGGGAAGTGTTCCTGGGTATCGGGCTGCGATCTATAGCGGGGGATTCATCCCCTGGCAGAGTATCCTGAGCTGAGAAGGAGTTCGGCGTTTACATGAGGAAGCCTAGCTAAGAGTAAACCAATACCAGGATCCACCACCGTTCTGGTATCAAAGTCGCATTGTGGCAAATCTCCCTCTGATCCACAAAGGGCCGTAATTGCCTGTGGCGGTGATGAGCTGGGGCAGACTTTGGCCAAGCTGACCCCGGCACTTCAGTTAAACACAATGGCTAAACCAACAAAGCTCCGAACAGTGGAGACTGTGCTGGGACCCCGCATAACCAATGGGGACGTGCCGTCCAAATATCCACGTATGTTTGTAATAACGCGATCGAAATAGATCTCAATTTGCACAGAATAGGAGATTTACCTCTTCAGCTTCAATACGCATTGATTAAAACTCATATCTCTTTCAGAGTTGTATTAGGATAGCGTTATGAGTACAAAAAATTGATTTTTGTTCAAGCTTGCCCTTCCAACCAGCTCTGGTAGGAGGGCAGAAAGACATCCTGATGCAAACGCACAGATTGTACATTCATCGACTCGCTTGCACAGAGTCTTCCTTTAGAAGGTGCTATGTTCTAAGCATTGTCTTGCTCAAAGAAGTTTACCTTATAGTCTAAATTCTTTATTATGTAAAATTTTTGTTAGCTACTTGTCATCGTCATTATCTTCACTCTTCGTAATTTTTTGTGCAGTTCTTACATGCAATTACATTCAGTTTCCATTTGACACTTAACTGTTGATATCAGCATTTCGAATTGTTTTGCAGCTTATCGATTACATTTATGTTTATGCACGGCCATTCTACAGGATAGTGGTGATTAATATTGATTGATTGTGGTTCATAATAGAGATTGGAATGGAATAAAATCAAATATCGATCAAGAGTTGAACTTTACGCGTCCTAATCACAATTTTAGCTTATCATTTACGGCCTATTCTTTTTAACGGCAGGGTATACATTGCGCAATATAACTTTAATGATGTTGAGATATTTGCAAAACTCCGGACCGCAGGTGTCTGTGGTGGGGAATGAACACGCTATTGTCCTTTCCGGGGAGTAACGCGTTCACCACCGCAGCTCGTCGATGGATGATTGCTGATGGCAAAAGATCTATAGAACTAGCTGAGAGACAGGACAAACGAAGGACCAGTATGATGTGGTGGTGAACGCATTACTCCTCGGAAAGGACAATAGCGCGTTTGTTCACCATCGCGGACACGTGCGGTCCGGAGTTTTGCAAGTATCTCAACATGATTGAAGTTATATTTACGCGTTCTATACATTGCACGAGCTGCATTGTAAACTAGTAGATAACTCCCTACAATGGGACTTTTGGTAGTTTGTGATATCTACATGTCCTGGTAAGTTGACAACTTGAATTTGTATCCGAGCTAATCAAAGTGACTTCGAGGAAGGCCACTAATTGAGCTACTTGTATCAGTGGGGCTGGAATCAACTTACAAACCACAAGCGTTCCTACGAACCAACGCGTAAATACCACTACGTAAATAGTAAATACTAATACCACTTCGATAACGATTACAAGCCAACTGCTTTAAGACTTTTCATTTCATCTTGAATGTGGTAGAATACTGGTCGAGCAATTCTTCCTGAAGTGTCAAGATAGCCACGCTGGATCGTTCCCAGTTGGATTGCAGAAAGTGAATTTCTTTCCCACACAAGCCCGGTACCAATTTCCCGGCCCCGGAAGGATGTTAGGCTTGGTTGGTGCGGTGCGTAATCGAACTAGCACCATGCTCGTGATGACGGACAACACCATCACTGTGCTATCCGCCCATAATTAGTGACCAACGAAACAGAAGAAGTATTGGGAGCCGCACGATATGTGAAACTGTGTTGTCTGAGTATCCAAGTATCTAAAGAGCTTCGACAGATCATTCGCCCATCATGTAGAATTATTGGTTTGTTGTGACTAGTTTTCAAAAAGAAACGATGAACTTATTCAGCATAGCGTATACATAAAGAAGTAAATCGTTTGTCGGAGTGCAGTTGTGTCTTCTTACAAGAATTACTCGACGATTGGCCATAGGCACATCACTTTTCGTTTTACAGTTGCCGTTTCTAATTGATCACATAGTCTGTAGGAAGACTTTGTGATATTCTAACATACAGAAATGAGCAATACATAGTGACTGGCCCGCTGATGTGGTCAGCTTGACCTTTCTAGGCTCTAAGGAAGGCGAATCCGCCGAAACTTGTGCGTAATTAAAGAAATAAAATAACACCTAGTGTTTGTTGAACAAAAATATGAAGAAACTGTTCGATCAATGTCGAGGTTAATAGAAAGTCGGTCGTGGAAATAAAAAATGAAGTTTTTCGAAACCTCTAGAATAAAAATCTTTACCTCTGTCAAAATGTGGGCTAAGAGAGCTGGTTAGCCTTGACTCGTGACCTTCGTTCGATCGTTTAGTCAACCGTAGTGAACCCTCTATGGACTCTGACTGAATAACTTGTTGGCAAGTGCAGGTCTAAAAGTGGAGCAAAAGGATAATGCAATAGCTACTTCCAAAGGTACAGAAATTATTTTGTCTCCTTAGATGTCCCTTTCAAAAGCACCTGTCGAAAATATCTTCCATAGAGGTGTCCTTTTTGTGTCTGAGGGATGGGAGGAGAGGTAATGAACCAGCATGTCTTTGCTGCTTAGTTTTCGATATAATTTGGTGATGCAATCGCTTTCGGACATGTTACTTTCTAAGCTTCTGTTTACAACCCATTCTAATTAAAATTTCGTTGGAGTACAGTAAGGGTTTTCTTAAGAGCGAAGATTTTAAAGTAGAAGTTAACATCCTCGTAGAGGAATCGAAAACGCCACTGTGCAAAACTAAGCATTCTGGATACATTGCAAGAATCTGGAAATGACCGCAGCTAGAGATTCCCTGATATCACACACGATCTCACACAGTACTTAAGACTGATAATTTAGTGTCAGAGAGGGAGATTACGGCTCCACGTGAACTCCGTGCGGATGTTCTCCGCGTGGAATACTCAGTGGGAAATTCAAAAAAAAAACGGTGAGTGTACGAAGAAATTATTTTGTTCTCAATACAGTTGAAATCTCCGTTTCGTATTTTTTCTGTTTTGGCTATGCAATTGTTATGTTTGTAGTCAACTTTACTTTTCCAGGTCCTGAAGGACCGGAAGAAGGCGAAATCCGTCGTAACATCAGCTTTTTCCGTGAGTAAAGAGTAAAATAACAACCTCCTATCTGCTTGCTAAAAATACAGTAAAGAAGGGTTATATTCTGATTATGGTATATTCGTCTCCAAGTATTTCTTATTTCTATAAAATAGTGCTCTTTCCAAAAAAATGTACTATGCTATTCATTCCCACCTCATTTGCTCTGTGATTGATCTCGTTTGCTTGTTAGTTCCCAATATGTGCGTTACATCAGAAATGGTACACCTCTGCTATTGAAGAGATAAGCACGCATATTTTTATTCTCGCTTTAGAAATGCTCGCTGTGAATAATTCAATTGTCGTTTAACACATTCGTGACTAAGCTCGTCTCTCCAGAATAGACAACAGTTTCATCATTAACATTCACGCGATTGCACCAACCACCTCATAGAGAGTTCATGCCATGCGAAAACAACCGCCGTTCTCAAATTTGAATCAACGTGTCTCACCTATCGGCCAATGTCATTTTTTCATATTTATATGACCCGTCCTCACGTCTATTGTGCGGATCTCAGCACTTTTTACATTCGATTCGTCTCCTCGCATCCACTGTCCACCAAGATCTTCCAACTTTTACGTATGGCTTCGGTTGGTGCTTAAGGATTTTCATTTCATCTTGAATGTCGTAGGATGCTGGTCGAGCACTTTTCCCTGGAGCCCTGACACGGTCGGAAATGTATTTGGTTTCTCGGTGACATGGTCGGAAATGTATTTGGTTTCTTGGATGACATGTCTTTGCTGGTACTGCGCGCCCAGGGATATTTTCTATTCGCTTCACTCGGGTACCGTAGTCGTCTATGGTGCTGGTATGCTCCGAACATGGTGACTTCCACATGGCCCATTCCGAATTCTTAAAAGCCTTACCACGAATACGTCTGACCATTGTTTGAATGGTCACCCAGTGGGACCCTTGCATTCTCTTGCAGTTCACTTCACTGTTTTCCCTCTCATCCGTAATCTGTTTTACTTAGTATATGGCCGGTCCACCTATGCTTCTCTATCGGTGTATATTCTCCTGGACCTCAAAGCTGAGATAGGTTTCCAAAATCTGGGCCTCGCATTCCGGCTGGATTTTGTGGGTGCCGGTTAAATTTTAAACGACATCGTTCGAGCACTGTTCCAGCTTGATGTTGTGCCGATTTCCCTCTATTTCGTGGCAGCACGTCATCGACCATCGATTGTCCTGCCATCGAACGAGGGATGCCGACATTTCAGCGCTGGACGGCTACCTTCTCGCTATCGTGGTTGTCAGCTAGCATTATGTCTTTGTTTCATCCGCGCTTATTTACAGGATAATAGCCGAG